AACAAAAAAAACACGTGACGGCTCGCGATAAGGAGCCGGCTCGCGTCGTTCACGTCGAAGAACCGGCTCTAAGAGCCATCTCGTTTGCGAACGACCCATCACTACCCGGTACACAACTACAGCTCCCCCATCTGTCAATCACAGCAGCCAATATCTGGATAAATAATATTTATAAAATAAAAACCCCACCATGCACTTATGGTGGGGGTAATGAATGGGAATGGGGGTGGGGGTGGGAGACTGTCAATCAAACCCCAAAGTGTAAAACATGCTTATTACTACTGTAAAAATTTACATTTTAACGTGGAAGTCTATGGGATCTGACTCACTTAGGAAGTCGGCCTCAAGTGGCCAGATGAGGAACTGCAGCTTTCTGATGCTTCCACAGTGGCTTAATTTTTCAGTCCTGGAGATGGCAGTACATATTACAACAATGTTTTTTTGTTTTTCTAAACAAAACAGAACAAATCAGCACACACATAACAACTAACAATGTCTTTGCATGTTAAAAAATTAATAAAGAAACAAAAGTAAAAAAAAATATGGAGAGGTTGTTCAATGAATAGACATTGTATGTCTGAAATGATAAGCTGATCCTTTCTCCCCTGAGAAATAAAATTTTAAGCTTTCTTTTAAAAATATCTCATGGATCGTGTCATGTCAGTGCGTTCTAAGCTGTTTGCTTTCATTTCACACTTACATTCAGTTACACTTACACTGAGTGTAGAGACAGAAACAGCTGACAAAAAACATCAAGGTAGGAAATTTAAAAATAATCATAGAAAACCAACAGATTTAAAGGATCGAGGTTAACTGGGTTAGCCGTGTCAGGTATTATGTTGTGTGTTTTTAGCTCTATTGTTGGTTTCTGGTCACGAGTTCTAGCTTAGACACATTGTGTAGTTGTTTTTTTTTTTGTATGGCTAACCCTCTTAGCACTTTGTAAAGAGAGGCTTTAGAAACTGGGCTCATACTTTGGTGTCCCGTGGTGCGAACGCCGTTTCCAGCACTTTGACAAAACTGAGAAAATGTTCGAGGTAGTCTTCAGCGTTGACACACAGACCCACAAACAACTCTAAGCCAGGAGTCGGTGTGTTTTGTGGTCACCGAGTTCAAAAATGAGTCGGAGGAAATGTAAAGTGAGGCAGGTGTTTTATTGTGCTAAGCTGTAATGGTTTGCACTCTCTTTACACGATACGTTAAATGCAGATTGTCTATATGGTGAAAAAAGCATACACGATGCACTCAGGTGTGTGTGTGTAACCTGTGTGTGTGTGTGTGTGTGTGTGTGTATTTCTCCTCAGGTCTCTCCTGCAGCAGCTGCAGTCGCTCCAGGCAGCCGTGGCAGGAAAAGTTTCCAAGTCCTGCAGGATGGTTGGCACCCAGACATCATCATGCTTAATGGTACGTGTGTGTTTGTGTGTGTGTGTGTGTGTTTGTGTATTAACAGAGATTGTGCTGATGAAACATTGATTAAAATATTGAATTAGAAACATCTGCTCCCATCATTCATTAGCAGCGCAGCATTATGTGTGATTCATAATTTATTTGCCTCTCCCTCCCTCCCCTCTCTCCACCCTTCTCCTTCTTCTTCTCTTTGTGTTTGTCTCTCTGTAGGTGGTTGTGTTGTGTTTCACGCTGTTTTTGGGGAGTTTTTATCCCAGCAGCTTTACACCACGCTCAACCATCACTGAAACGGGCCTCGCTTCCAAACAGCTGGATGTCAAAGAGTCCTACACAGCTACAGGTAGTCACACTCACCAACCCGCACTCTATACACATGTTTAATACACCTTACTCAGCGTAGTTACAGCGTGATTTAGCAAAACAGATGAACAGCTTTGCTTTAATCATGCCTAAAGTAAATGCAAAAATATAGTATTGCTGGGACGGTTAAATATTAATGTAAATAAGAGAGGAAAGTATGAATATATTGTACTTGACATAGTCGGGTTTTCTCCATGAAAACAAAATAAAACTGAACAAAACAGCAAAATATGAACACAAATAAATACCCCAGATGTTTTTCAAAGATGTTTGCTAAACAGCTTTTTGCTGGCAGGGCAGAGAGATGAACTTAGATGAACTTTAGAAAAGTTGATGGCATTTTGTGTTCCCGACTTTTTCCTGCTTCCATCAAAAACATACAATTGTACATTTGTCCAACGCCTCTCAATTAGAGACTATTACCATGGTTACACTGATACTTTGATTACACAGAAATCTTTATATTTTCCATATGAAGCCGTATATTCATGCGTGTGGAGCTGAGACGAGTGGACACACACCCACAGTTCGAGTCACCGTTCCTGGAGATTTCAGCTTAAGTGACCTGCCCTGCTGTTTCCATTGTAATGAATCATTAGTTCCCAGCTATTAAACTTTGGTGGTCCATTATAACATTGCTGCTAATCAGATGCCTCCTACAGCCACAGAGACTGATTAGTGGCGTTGACCTTTCACTGCATCCTCTCTGCTTCCTCCCACATGCACGCACTTTTTCTTTTGTAAGAGAAACCAGATATAATTTTCTTAACAATCAATTTCAGTTTCCTCTCCCATCCTGCCCACACGCACACACACACACACACACACACACTCACACACACAAACAAACCCACAGGCTGCACAGTCTTTTCACCAGGCAGACAATAACATGTGGTGCTACACAGTTATAAAGTGTGTGTGGGCTGGTGTGTGAGTGAGTGTGGAACTAAAAATGATTTTCCTGACACCACACAGTCATACTTTCTCCTCACAAAAATTAGGCACTAATAAGCACTTATCCCCAACTTTTAGTTAAGTCGAGGAGTCTGTTATCGACTTTCGAAGACGAACAGCCGCACCTCCTCGGCCTGGGTGGTGAATATCCCGACCAATGGGAGGACACGCCAGCCGTCGTGATGGCAGCGTGGCGTCGCTCAGAGCAGCAGAAACTCGGGGTTGAGCCCACCAGGATGGAAACACACCCACCTTTCAGGAATAAAAGCAACGACACACAGACGTCAAAAAACCTGCTCCTTGACCTGCACAGGTAAACACACAGCACGATGAGGAGTACTCGGATGATGACGATGGGAGTAAACAGAATACCTGAACTCGATCAAAAGAAAGAGTTCACCCACTTTAACTTTCTCGATAAGATTAAAACCTCACTTTTCTCACAGATTTACCATAGATACAATTTTAATTATGATGCTTGTGTAAACGCAGATAACCATGACCTGTAATAACTAACACTACCTCCTCTGAGTACACTGGGAGTCTTGTTTTAATCACAAATCTTACTCCTCTGCATTTAACCCATTCACCCAGTGAAGCAGTGGGCAGCCACTAATACAGCGCCCGAGGAGCAGTGTGTAGGGACGGTACCTTGCTCAGGGGTACTTCAGGGTAGCTGTTCAGTGGAGTCGAACCCCCAACCTTCCGATCATGGGGCAACCACTCTACCTACTGAGCTATCCCTGCCCTAAGCACATTGAGCTTAGGTAGAATGAAAGTGCTATATAAGTTAAAATTGACATCAGCCTCTTTATCCAGGCAGGTTAGCACTCTGCAGCCAAACATCGATCCGCCCACCATTATTCAACAGTCTGACATAAAGCCAGGTCATTAGTCCTCAGCTGCTAACCCAGTTTTGGTTCATTAAATGTTATTATTTTGTTTACTAATCTTAGTTTAGTGGAGAAGTCTGAATCCAGCGGTGTGGTTGTGTTGTGTGGCCTTCGTCTCCGCGCTGTTTATAACCCAGTCAGACACCTCAGGTCATCAGGTGCAGATCTTTTCAGCGTTCCTAGAATCAGACCCAAGTGTGCTGAGCGGGCCTTCAGTGACTGTGGTCCTGTTCTTTGGAACAAGCTGCCTGCTGACCTGAGATCAATTACATCTGTGCTGACATTCAAAAACAGACTCAGAGCCTTTCTGCTCAATACCTGTGTGTGTGTTTTCATGTATTATTGTGCTGCTTTCACTGCTTTAAGGCATTGAAAACCTACACAGGTTTTTGTGTTTGTATTTTCTGTTAAGCACATTGAGTTTAGTATAATGAAATGTGCTATATAAGTTAAAATTGACATTTTTTGTTTGTTGTTGCGGCTTAGTTATAGTCCATCTTTGTATGTTTGGATGGTTAAGCGTTTGCTGAGGTGCAGCAGAGTTTTGGCGTCTTATGTGTTGGCTTCCTTTGAGCCTGACACAGAGAAGACTTTATTGTAGTGAACTGAATCTCATCCAGTTGTGCTGTGTCTCTCAGGTCTCTGGAGCAGAGGACGAACGAGAGCAGAAGTAAAGTGATAGAGCTGGAGAGAACAGTCAACGAGACTTCCTGAGATTTAAATTCACGCCAAAAAAAAAATCCTCCTTTACTCCCCACGATGACCTTTGACCCCTCTCTGGAGCATGGTTCAGTGTCCTGGAGCAAACCTCATATAGAAGCTTCCACTGCTGATATTTTAAGGTCATTCTTTTTAATGCCATCTCTGCTTAATCAGATACACTGTAATGGTAGGAATAATAAAAGAGTAGAGGGGCACTGGTTGCCTTAATTTCTGAACTAAAGTTGCACTGAATAGTTTTTCACGAGTCAACTTACCAGTTGTAGTTGTTTTAATTGATCCGGCTCGAGACACTGTGTTTAAAAATCACACTTAGAGAATTTCAAAGAGAGTGTGGCATTTATTCGAGGCGTAATTATATTAAAATATGACATGTGAGGCTTTTTACAGGACACTGATGAGAACCGTTTATATTTATAGACACTTTTGTTGATGTTTTTTTTTTTTTCAAAATTTATTGCTCTTTATTGCTATTAAATGTTTTTATTTCATTCCAGTAATGCGTACAGCCCATTTTTATACTTGTTTGTGTTCATACTGTGTTTTGTCTTTTTATTTTTATTGTACTCTTTTTATATATTCTTTTTTTTTTTCTTTTCGAGGGCCTAGCTTGGGGTTCCTGCAAAATTATATTATTTTTGTTCCTTTATAGGTCATGTTTGCCCATTTGACCACAAAATGCAAAGAGCTAACTGAGATGATTGATACCACTGTTATACCTGCATGATTAATATTGAGCTTGAGCTAAGCTAACTGCTTCTTATTTACTGTTTAGACACTGCTGGCCTCATTCTGGCGCTGAGCATTGTCTAGTGAGGTTTTAGCATACTTTGAAAAGTTTAGCTCATCTGAAAGTGGCTATGAATGGTATCGATCTCATCAGACTCTTGGTGTAAAATCAGATTGGAATAGAAAAAAACAACAGCATGTGATTGGACATTTAAAAGTATGTTGAAACCACGGATTCAGTTTCTGTATCGTGTTTTTTTGTTTTTATCTTAAATCCTGCAACACTTTTGCCTTGCACACTTCAGCTGTCAGCTCCAGGAGTCTTTTACAGCTATTTTACAGCATTTGCCAAAAATATTTCTTTCGAGAAATGAGAAAAAAAGTTTCTATTTTTGTAAATATGAGTTGTTAATAAATGAGAACGTCTAAATGTGTCTGGGATCTGTAGTTTGTGAACCAATCCATTATTCATTCTGACTCTATTTTGGGCTCTGTGCTGTTGATAAATTATGAACGTAAGACGTCTTAGCCGCAGGCTTTGTCCTGACTTTCTGTTTAGCTTAATTCCAGATCACAGTGACTTTAAAATGTCTTAACTGTCCACCTCAAGTGTGTTACACATAGGTTTTAAATGTCTGAGCTTTGCTGCCGTCAGCTGTATGATACCAATCAGTAACAGAAGCTTTTTAAATTAAAGTTAACCCCAGAACCTGTGGTAATTTACAGCTCAGGATTAAAAACAACAGTTTTTGACCAAATCTACAGACTGTAAAGCCAAAATATGTATTTGAAGCTTTGTCAATATCAAGAAATGGATTTGTCAGCTTTCAATGACGAGCTTTACATTTCTCACTGCCAGAACAGAAAGATCATCAGAGACTCGAGATGAGCACGCTGCCCTTTTGTTACGCCAGAAAACTTTTTTCCAAATAAAATTGAATTTCCTCGCTGCTTCTGTGTAAAACCAGCCTTTCTGTCTTCATGCTTTCAAACAAATAAAGTATTTTCCTTAGTAAAAGCATAATATTCACGAGTTTGTGTGTTCATTTGTTCATTCTTTTTCAGTCTCTGATGTCGACGGTGTCATTCCTTTAAGTCAAGAGTCATTGTGTTTTACCTCTCTTGCAGAAAGTGTGCTGTGATAAGTGTTTGCATGGTATAAATATTCTGTACCACCTCGACCAGTTTGATCACAGCCTGACTAGCCAGACTAACATATTGGTTGACTGATGCTGATGCTAATTCTGGGCTATTGCCAGTAACTTACTCAGTATTTACTGTATGCTGTACAATATTTACTGATTTAATGGAGTTGACTTATAAAACATAACGTAATGAATGGATGGGGTAATTAAGAAAAGGTATCATCGCTTATTTAGGTCCATAGTAAGTTGCACAAAGATACAGTTTTAGTAAGTTTTTTCTGTCCACCACCAGGAATTTTCAATTAAATAATCAAGATTTGAATAAAGTGCAGACATTTAGGAATGACAATCATTTTTATACATAGTCATATCAAACGCTGAAAAATCATTGAACAGTTGACTGTCAAGCAGTTTCATGACCAGGTGAGGCCTGTCCCCCTGTTATTTCATGACAAATGAAAGATTTGTTCCATCTGAAGCTATTTCAAAGTGTTTCATTTGCATTTTATGGCTTTTGATTGTTATGTTTTAAACATGAGGTCCAACAAGATGTCAGTGCACATGAAGGAGGCTGAAGGTGTAGCCAAACAATCAAGCAGCAATCTGGTTTATTCTTAAAAAACAACTGGGCATCTCAGCAACAGCAAAAGACAACAGAAGAAAACTAGAGTGCACGATGCAAGAAATATTTATGGTTAAGGAAACTAACTTTACAAATCAATATAACCAAGTCAGAAACACGCTCAAGGAGGTAGGCGTGAGCATTTACAACAAGGTGCAAACCACTGGTTAGACTCAAGAACAAGAAGGTCAGACTTTAAAAGAAACCATCTACAAGAGCTGGAAAAAACCCAATAAAAACATCCTTTGAACAGATGAAGCTAAGATGAACGTGTACCAGAATGATGGGTGGAGAAAAGCTCATGATCTGAAGCACATCATCTGTCAAACATGGCGA